CAAAGGGAACAATGGCTTTGTGATATTCCATCTCTCACACAATGTGCTACACATAATTGGAAAGCCTTTGTTATTTGACTCCCATTTGACTATGATGTACAAGATGTGAATACAAACACGACAGGCGTAACGAAGGCAAAAGAACAAGCTCACTTCAGGTTTCCTGGCTTTACATCACAGTTTAGGTTTGTGTGGCTGCTTGTCACCAAAAGGAATATTTAACTGACCAGTTGCTTGCTGACTTTAGGATGAATTTCCCTACTTGGATTTTAATTCGTTTTTACTTCTTCTATATAGTTTTGTGCTTGTTTATATTGCTTTTTTTAGCTTTACAATGCATCACATTTCCTTCATTCCAAAAATAGTTTTTTTTTTATGTTGAATTACAAAACATGTTGTGCTGAGATAAAATAGACAGGGTTCCCACAGGTCCTTGAAATCCTTGAAGGTTTGTGAATTTGAAAAAAAAATGATTTCAAGGCCCTGGAAAGTTTGTGAAAACAGCCACAAATTACACTAGTCCTTGAATGTACTTGAATGTTTTTTGGGGATTGAAGTTATCTATTCACATGACTGGTTTTCATCAACTATTAATAATAATAATAATAATAATAATAATAATAATAATAATAATAATAATAATAATAATAATAATAATATATTTGTTGCGGTGGATGACTCAGAGTTACGGTAAACTGGCGTGGCTTTCAGCAAATAACACAAGCCATAGTCATAGTTTTACCCAATCAGAGCAGAGCAGGGCGGGTCTTCCTTTCTGAGCCCAGGTGAGAGCTCCACAGCTCCTCCTGGACATGTTCGCATCCCCTCCTCACAAACTAAGCTGCTGAACCTCCCAGGACACAATAACATGTCCATGTATTGTGGATATGAATGTAGGGTAAACATTTAATCCACTTTTTTTCATTGATTCTGACTCAAAAACTCCTGTGTTGTTCAGTTTTTCATTGAATAACATGATATTAAACCTGTTTATTGGTAACATTCTGGGGTAGCAGTAGGTAATTGCCATCATGCGTGGTTCTTGAATTTGAGGAAATTGGTACTGGAAAGTCCTTGAAAGGTCCTTGAATTCAATGTTGACCAAGGTATGAATAGATTTCACAAACTTTTTTTTTTTTTCACAAAGTTAGCAAGAGTTACACTCTTTGGGGAGAGAGCACTAACCATTTAAATCCCATTGCTCTTTGTGCACTCCCACCTTTTACGGACAGCCTTTTGAATGACACCATTAGGAATTAGCATACAGTACCTATGGCAACCGGCAACCTTTGTTGGATTCTTTCATAATATTTGTACAGCCGTCTGCAGCTGGCTTTATTTAGCTCAGGCTTGATGCTTCTGTGCGATAACCTCTTGCCATTTTTTTTCTTTCTTTCTCACACAGGTGAAAGCACCAATTAAAAGCACTCAGAAACATTTTCCAAAAGGACATGGGAATGATTATTAGAAGTGCATTATCACAGTGGCAAGGCTTTGAATAATGTGCACCAGTTACGTTGTAAGAAACGAGGCTGGTTTTACTTGTAGAAATTGGATTTATTAACCATACATCTCCCGGGGAACAGTTTATGCTTCGAATTTCTAAAATACGCCAACAAGAGCTAAACATGTAACTGTGGTAAATAATAAAATCTAGTGTACTAAATATGAGATTCTGACATTTTATACAGAAAAGTCTTCAGTTTGTAACTTTAGAGAAAATCCCAGATCATCTCCATCATGAGAAATTCATTAGCATTTTTTTTAATCTACACACTTTGACGTTACATTTCCACAATATAGCAGTGCCGTTTTTTCCACAAACTCTACTGCTTTGCATCCCTCCTTGTTTATATTAAACATGGTGTGACTCGGATTAAAGGGTGACAATTTTGCCTGGAGGCTGTTGCTATGGAAATGCATCTGCTATAGTCATGATGGGCCATTCATGTTTGATTAATTGTTTCTTCAATGCTTGTTGGTTTGTGAGAAACCTAAAAAAAACAGTTCCATGGAAAATGGAAAATAAATGGATTTTTATTTCCTTTTTTTGTGTTTTACTTTCAGTCTTCCTCTGCATTTTTCTTTGGTCTAACCACCTATTTAGCCGGTTCTGTTTCCCCCCACATTTTAAGAAGTGTAGTAATGGTGTTTTGAATTATGATTGGAAGTTGGAGATTTCCATGGATGGGGGAGGTTACAGCTTGGTTATTTGAAATGCAAAAGGAATGTCTTTGTTCGCGGCTGGCTTTTGTGAGCAGCTGCTGAGGCAAATGCAGAATCTAATGTAGTGTGAATATTATGAGTTTTCAAAGCAGGCCAGAGCCATGCACAACATTACTTTGTACTCCGTTTTTATTCTAGCAATCTACTGGGACCAATTATGATTAGAGAACCGAGCCTTCATCTCTGAACCTCTGCTCGTGTTTATCAAGACCTCATATGCTCGAGTCCTTTCAATTTGATCTTTTTAGAACTGCACTAATGTGTAATGTATTATTTAACTCATAAATGTTTAAGGAAGCTCACAAATGCAAGCTCATCACTTTCAGATCTGTGAATTACCAAACATTCTCATTTGTGCCTGCATTAAAAGCCCCCCTTTGCTCCATGCTTGTGTTATGTCTGCACAAATCTTGAAAAAAATAATAATAAATAAAAAACGAGCTTTTGATAGTTATTATTGAAGATTAAATATGGCTAAAAGCAGAACTTTTATGAGAATCAGACTCTGTAAGTTATTGAAGGGTGTTCTCCACGTGGGGGTCATTGTCCAGCTGTGAACTCCATTTCTGTTTCTATTTGTAATCCCAGGTATTGGGGGAAACGTGTTGCTCAGGGTGGCACTAAGTAATATTTCTTTACTTCACTGCACACAGTGAGTATAATATATCTACAGGGGGCTGATGTGGTTGTTGATCAATACCATTGGCTTAGTGATTGCCATACCAGATGCTGAAAGCTCCGACTTCGGAGGAATTATTTTTTCAGTCACAGGAACTGAAGTCTCCCTTCACCATTCATTACATCTCAGAATTGAAGCTGTATTTGTTGCCTCTTGACGAAATCGGGAGTCACGGGTTGCAGGTTTTGTCTGCGAAAGAAAAGTCGTCCATCTTTACAAGCTGTTGTTGAGTTGAAAAAGTAACTTGTGTTTATAATATGCAGTTGATATATATTATATTTAAATTTGAGTATGTTTTAGATCAGGGGTTCTTAACCTTTTTGACCTCAGGGCCCAATTTTTTTAACATAAAGTGGCACGAGGCCCAGTCAGACATTACCAGTGTATGGATCAAAATGATAATTATTCTAATCTAAATCTTGGTTTAATTTTTATTGTATTCACATCATAACTAAACTACCATAACTAACATAACTAAATTAAATACACTTACAGTTTAAAAGTAAAACTCCTGACAAATAATCACAAGACATGATTATGACAAACATTTTTATATTGTAACCTGCCCATAACAATTATTTGAACAAATACTTGGTCATATAT